GTTAAATAGCTATTATGATAAAATTTTCATTATGGAGCATTGAAAATTATACCTTCTAGTATAAGAGGGGAGGAGTTCAAAAAATTGCCCCGGCCGTTCCAATATTCTCATCGTAATTTGTAATGACAAAATACTACTACATAGCCACTTAAGCCAAGAGATTTTGAGAATTGCAATTTTTTCCATATAACGTCTTTTCAGATTATGGCGTTATATGCGGACCGATCCGAACGATTTTCAATAGTGTTCGTCCTTGGGACAAAACACGTCATCGTACCAAATTTCATCAAAATATCTCAAAAATTTCGACCTATAGCATACACAAAAATTTATATGGACAAACCATAGACGGACGGACATGCTTAGATCAATTCAGATTATGTTTCTGAAGCGACCGGTATAATAAAAGACGGGTCAATCTTAAGCCCACCTGCGTGTTACAAATGTATGCACTAACTTAATATGCCCTATATCACAAGCGGAGTAGTGTATAAACAGATCAGTTGAGATAGGTCTTTATGGAGGTGTTTTATATTTATTTCAATGTAATGAAGAAATGGTAACACTATACATCCAATTAGGAAAAGTTAGTAAGAAACTTTGGTAATATGAAAATGGTTGTGTTTCGGAACAGTGGATTTGGATTGCTTCATTTAGGGTAGGTTTTGGGACGACCAATGACTTGTTCTTCAGACGATAAAAATCAAATGCGGCTGCTGGGACAATTTTTCGGCGTGCATTAAGCGATTGAGCTAATCGACTTTAAGCCCACGGGATGAGAGTAGGAGACTAATACTTTGAACCAGGAGACTAATTGTTAAACCATCAATAATATTCATCAAATATGCGCCCTCCTACTTTCATTTATTTATTGTCACCTTTCTCAAATTTCCATGTTTTGGACTGGATTATAGAGGGTATTCAGGAGAAAACTTCATCGCACGACAACGCCTTTGTTCAAACTACTTTCTGCAATAGTCCCATACTGCGGGGCTATGGATTTTAAGAGGCCTGGAGGAAAAACGTTAGGATTATAACTTTAGGGACAATTTCCAATTCGTTCAATTAAGATATATGTATGTAACATTCAATGTAGCTCTGTTTTGTAATCTGTTCCATGGCATCATTCGGGCAGCTTTGCAATTGACTGGTAGGCGAAACGCTGTCTGTTAGAAAGAAGATTTCATCATTCATCATTTTGTAGAAACTTTAAGAAGCTCATAATGCGACATAAGAAACGTGATGTCATCTCCCAATATAAAGCTAATACATTCTTATAACCGACCAGAGCTTCATTAGGCATTATTTAAAACTAAGTTTCTTTGCAAGTTGATACTTAAAACTTGCGCTTCAATATACAAATGTTTGGATCAATATTTTAAATATGGAACTCGAAGATGAACATGACCTAAAAATTATAATTTCAACATAGATTCATCAATAATTTCGTCTTATAGTAGATATAACTTTCTAGTTAAGGTATCCAAAATTCGCCACAAGCTTAATATATCCATTATCGACGAATGGAAATCAATTCGCACATTTTGCTAAAACGTTTCCAACGTCCTTATAAAGTATATCTAATTATGATCAAAATCAAAACCTGAAGCTATCAAAACATGTCCTTCTGTCTCTGTAATCTTTCTGGTAAATATCCTGCTGGATGCGGATATCGGCTTCAAATTCTGCAAGAACTTTGCAAGTTCGTGTATACAGATTAAATATAGAAAACCAATAGAATCAGTTGGAGTACATATCTGCTACGCGATCGAAAACATTTCTGTTTTCAAAAGCAAAAAAAAAATTCGGTTTTTGGTCGATACGATCAAAATTTTCATATATCCTATGGGCGATGCTGCAATACTTGTACAAAAAATGGAAAAAATCGGACATGCTCACCACCAGTATCACAGAATATCGAAGGATAACTTTTTTGTGTGGCTTAAAGCAGCAGCCGAATATAATTTTCTTACTTGCTACGCTTCTCACGCGCTACGAATGCCACGAAGTATATTAAGTATGAGGAAATATTTTCTGCGTCGATTTTATTTTCGCGGAATTTGATACGATGGTACGCTTTGGCCCAAGGATGAATGCGGCCACTTCCTATATAATACTTATTGCGAAATATTACAATTTTCAGAATACTTTGATAGAAACCACTGAGTAATAAATCGATATGAAAAATTTAGATTGGGTGGCATCGTTTTCCGATTCCTATCCCATACAATCGTAATTACAAAAACTAAGCGTTCATATGATAAGTTTAATGTTTCAGAGTGAAACGTCATCTCTGATAGAAAGTTTATATGAAAGTAAAATGTAAGAGATTTGTACCACGTAGGTCTAAATTTTTGTATCCCACGCCTCCATAATGGCCTCCATAAAAAGAATGCTTTTACATAGAAACAAAGCAATGATTTTTTTTATTTTATCACGAAAATAATGAGCAATCGTTTAGGGTATATAAAGATCGGGCTTGCGGGGCAATGATATTTGTACTTGGTTTTTTAATATGAATCGTTTTTAATTTATAAGCTTACAGCAGTGCAATGTAATCACAAACCTCTATGTTTGTGTGTGTGTATGAGGGAGGTACTATTTTTAGAATAAGAACGCATTATGAAGTTATGTATGCGTACGATGTACATGAATTTAGAGGGGGATATTTTAAATTGGTTTGAGTTATAATTTAAATTAAATGGAGCAGCATGCCTATAAAATCTTTAGCAAAAAACTAACGAAGCAAAATGTGTTTTCATTAGGGTGAGCGCTTGTTATCTATTGTCTACGTCCAACATATTTATTTACTCTACTTTATTAATACTCTTTTGAAAAAATAAATCATGGCTTAAGGGGGAAAAATAAGGACAGATTACTTTACGTAGAACAAAAGACTTCACTGCTTATGGCAAATAAAGGAAACCCTTTGGCTTTAGTCCATGTTTTTCGTTTTTCTAATTTAACTTTTGAGGGATGTGAAGGTATGTGTATAACTTCAACATAAAGAACTAATTACGAATGGGATTACCTTAAATAATGCGCAATAATTAATAACACACCTACGGGTAACTTTGTCTTGAGAGCACGAAATTATTGGCCGTTTTCTCGCTTTACGAAGATTCCCAAGTAACTCTAGATTTGTGGGAATGAAATTATTGGCCATTTAGGAAGATTTTCAAGTAACCCTTAATTTGATAAAGGAAACATTATCTTGTGATTATGAAATTATTGGCCTTTTTATCCTTTCAGGAAAGTCTAATCAATGCAGTCTGTAATCTGTACATTTCTTGGTATAATTGAAAATTTGGGAAAGAAAGATTTTTTTCTTCATACTACCTCCTTCATCATATCATTAACGTATCTTATTTCTCAAGCGATTGACTTTAAACTCAAAATTTGGCAAACTCCGAAAATTGCCGGCTGTAGAAAAGAAATCGGACAGACGGATAGACACGCATGAATCGATTTAGAAGGTGACACTGGGTATAGGTTCAGTCCTTCCGACTGAATGCGTTCACCCGCTCACACACTTACGCTGTACTATAAGTGTTGTAGGGTGTAAAATATGAACGGTGATTACTTGAAAAAAATTGATTATTGCAAAAAGTCTGAATTCAACTACGTTCAAAAGAAAAAACAAAAAAAAGCCAAAAATGTTTATTTATTTAACTCCATTCAAAAAATCAACCGTTTGAGCCTCATAACCCTTTTGAATATCGTTTGTGAATATTTAAGGACTCATTTTAGGCAACAAGCAGAGCAAAAAAAAACAACCTTTAATTTAATTTAAAAGAATGACGAATTAAATTTTCAAGTTTCTGCCTTAATGTCTACCACCTTAGGCAGATAGTTTAAAGTGCTTGTTCCAAATGAGCCGTTTTTTATACCTTGACTTGCAAACGTTTGGATCTTTTAACAAGAAACTTTAGAGGACCTGTACAGTATTGTATGATATATGGTTTTCAGTCAGTCTATGTCCGTCCTTGCATTTATAAAAAACTTTCTCAAAATTTGTTAAAAACATTAGAAGTTCTTGCATGTATTCGCATGCATAATACAACATTATCAGTAGATGCATTACGTAGCTAAAAGCTTTACGCAATGGACGCATAAGGCCAAAGTAATATTCTTTCTTCTTACTATGCCCCAGAAGTAGGAAGTCGTAATACGCACACAGTAGCGAATATTTGAAGGAAGCGTGATTTTACTCCTGGATCAGAGTAGCGTGTTACTCTATATGCTCTTTCAAGCAGAGGATGTACGCTATTTTTTTAACTATCCCTGGGATAATATTTGGCAAGCGTTAGGAGGTTTTTAACACATTTTTCAACGGATTCGACGCTGTTGTCATTCTCTGACTGTATTTCAGACGGCATGAATATCTACCGTCAAGTTATTTTTTTGCAAAATTATTTTGACTAAATGAATAAGTAAACTGGCGGCTGAAACAACCCCTGCAAACAAAGCGAGTGACAGACTGGGCAGGTGTTTGGCCTGACCGTGTTGTTGTTACTTTATGAAAATGTTGGTATATCAACTGTTATAATGAATGGGTGCGTTATCTAACAATGTTGACCGGCAATTTTGTTGCCCTAAAATTTATGGTATAGGTGTGAACGATGTTCATTTAAAGGAAAACGGCACATACAGTACCATATAGTTCGTAAAAGAATAGCTCTGTTGCGTGACTGAATTGAAATGACACTTCTTGTTGGAAGACTCTGCATATTTATCGCTCATGATGGTCACGAACAAAGTTAGGTTGTCATCGCACGAAAGTGGCAGGTGCCCATTAGGCACAACAACGCACCAAACTCTACCTTTCCACTGCCGCAAATTTAATTTTCTTTTAATATAAATTTTGTATTCCAAGTAAGTCTAGGAAGACTAATGCGTGTTTAATAAACTTAGCGCATGAGTTAGATGCAAAAGCCGTACTACTTTCATTTTTTATATTTTATAAAAAAAAAAAATTCTTTCTTTTTCTTATTTTATAGATTTATCCCGAAATCGGTTTTGCGAGCTGCCCGAAGAGATCACTACATTCTCATTTTTAGAAACGTTGCTTCTCTATCATAATACCATACGCAGTGTACCGGAATCAGTTAAGCACTTGACTTCTTTAACGTATCTTGATTTGCGTAGCAATCAGCTGTCGTCTCTGCCGCGAGAATTGTGTTTCCTACCATTGCAAGTGCTGCTGGTCTCGAATAATCGTCTGACTGCATTGCCCGACGAATTAGGTCGCATGGACAGACTGACCGATTTAGATGCATCGTACAATCAACTAACGTCACTGCCAGCACGCATTGGCGAATTGCGTTTATTAAGATCTTTTTCATTGCGAAGCAATCAGTTAATGTATTTACCCCGAGGTATGTATTCTACTCACTTCACTGCTCACACTGTTTATATTGTTGAAGTGTTGTGGTTACAATTTTGTTTTTGCTTATGTTTACATAGAATTAACGTGTCTAACATTGGTTTCCTTGGATGTATCAAACAACCGCATTTCTAGTCTGCCTCTTGAAATACGTCAAATGACCACATTGGTTGAATTAAACTTAGAAAATAACCCTTTGACATCGCCACCAGCTAGTGTATGTACTGGCAGTGGTCTATCATTCTATTCAGTTTGTAATTTCTTTAATTTTTTGCATGTTGCCCATTTAGCTTTGCATTCGTGGTCTTGTGCACGTCTTTAAATATCTTGAAACTCAAGCAACCAAAGATGAAAAAGGATCCCGAGCTGGCGGAAATTATGATGGCTACACCACGTTACGAAGAGCGCCTCGTCACAATGTTGGCGGTAGTGTTTTGGAAACAAATCGTCTAGCTCGTCATCATATTGATTCGGGCTATAGTACTTGCGACGGCATCGACAAACGTTGGTCCCATGATATGCCCCGTAAGCATAGCTAAGCACAAAAGGAAAATATATTATGTTAATTCAATTCCATTTTACAGTAAAGTGCAAGCACGAACCTTCGTTACGTTTAACGCCTACGACGCCGCCTAAGTCAACACTTTTAAATGCCGATCTTATGGATTCTTCACTTACCTCGAGCACTAGTACTATAGTAGACGAATCGCTGGCGGTAAATGCGGCAGTAGTGAAACCCTTAAATGTGGATGTCGTTCAAACTGCAACAAGAGACAGTGCTAAGCTTTCGCTAACAAGTCAAGACGATATTTCGCAATTATCAACTGGAACAACAACTGCAACACCTTGTTCCACTTCATCCAGTAATGATCCTTCACCCGAGCTGGACGACGGCCTAATTGAACACCAGCAACACATGCAACAACAACAACAACAACAATTATCGCTATTCTCCTGCAAAATCGATGATAAAACAAATAAGAATATAGGAAATATACAAACTTACAGGTATTTGTAATATCCATCGTTTATATTGGTTTTTTTTTTTTTTTGATAATTATTCGTCTCCTTTGCAGGGAATACAAGGAAGCTTTAAAACAGCAGCGTAGTCAAGACGTGTACAGAATCAAAGAAAACCAAAAACAATTAAGTGATTCGACTGAATTGTTGCATTCAGTAGTGAATGCGTGTAATGAACAGGTGGATATTCGACTAAATAACGTTAATGCGCAAAACGCAACTGTGCCAAAATCCATAATGAAGACTAGTACCAATAATCCTTCGAATAGTGCGTTTAATGTTTGTCCGGGCGGTGCGGTAAATAACGCTAGTACAAATGGACCGAGCGAAGATTGTCTTGTTATACCAAAGAAACCGATTCAAAAAGTAATACCATCTCGTAACACGGAATTAATGTCGCAGACGGTGAAAAGTCAAATAAGTGCGGAATTAATGCTGAACGAAAAATCATCGCCAATCACAAATGGAGATTGTATTGGTTACGTCAAGCCAAATAGTCCTTTAAAAACAATAAATGGCAATGCAGGCAGTGGCAACGCCAATGGTGTCTCTGGTATAGGTGTAGGTATTTTAACAAATAATAATAAATTTACAACGAATGGAGGCATTAAATCACCAGTTGGTAATGCCACCAAACTTGGCACCAGTAAAACTCATCGGTAAGTTTTTTTTATTTTGAAAACCTATTTAAAACTTGATAATTGTCTGTAAATGTTGTTAATAGTAATGTTACTTGGAATCACGATATACCGCCAGAAAAACTAAGTTTCACCATGCGTCGGGAATTCGATCGTCAACGAGAAGAAATTGAGTTAATGACTCAGCTACGTAGTGTAAGTATTATTATCGATTAATCATAAAATAAACAGAGTTTATTATAGAATCTCAAGCTAAAAATCTTTTGATAACCAATTTTTCTAAAAATATTTATAAAGAAGAAAAAACGAAAACATGTTCATACTCACCCATAACCCATATTTCGTTGCCAGTTAGAGTTGAATTCCATTGTTCTCATATATCGATTGCATATATAACAAGTAAGAAGATTAAATTCTGTCGTGCCCGAATCCTTCACACCTTCCCGTTGGGTAGATGGGGATGGGTTTACCCATTTTTAGAATAAAAATGGACATTTATGTGGGGTATGTGTTTTGCTTTATAAGTAACAAAGGCGGTAATAGTTTTTCTTATGTAGACGTGTGATATATGACACACTATGACATGAAGTAGGCGTGGCTGAATTTTTTCACTTTTGTTGAGGTACTACAGCATTGCCCACAGAATATACGTGCAAGTTGTAGATTTATCTGCTTTAGTTTATGGGTGATGAGCAAAAAAAAAACAAAATTTTATTCCTTTTGAAAAACAGAGGTGTATTCAGCTTACGCTGCATTGTAGGTGTGTCCTTCAACCGAATTAGCCCACCTGCAATACCAACCTGCGTGCATGAACTTCCAATGTCTCCAATGGGGTATGTTTTCAATAGGCATTGCTCAGGCGGACAGACAAAATCAATGCACCTTTCATCTTTCGGCGGTGGGTATAATAATATCAAACTTACATATTTCAAGCCATAGCTTTATATGATTTGGCAGCATTTATAACTAATTCCACTAAACGAAAGACGATATTTGCTCGCATCATTTTTTAGAAATATGTGGTTTTTGCAGTTGTAAGTGTAAATTCTTAGTCCGCTTTAGCAAATATTTGAACTTGAACGGTAGATATTCTTCAGGAAAATTTTAAAATCCAGTCGATAAGTATATGGTAGAAAGTTTATATTTCTGAGGTTATAATTTAGAGAAAAAAAGTAATTGTAGATGTTGCAAGGAGCGACTGAACTATAACTGAATTCAAATGAGCTTAGAACAATACTAGTATTTTGGGAAAAACAGTAAATATAAATAATAATAATTTTTGATGTGAAATGAAACAGTTTTTCGAAAAAGAAGCCAAGAACTAATATTGCTGTGGGAAACGATTAAAAGTGGATTTGTGAAGCATTAACAAAAACTATAAAGTTAGCGCACTTTTTTGATTGATCTAATGGAAGATACGACGAGAAAATTGAAATGCAAATAAAAGAATGTTCTTCAGCTATTAGGGAAAGCTTCGAAATATTTCAATTCTTGCTTAACCGGAACGAAAGTCTATGGCTTCTCATTTATGATTTTTACATGTTCCAGATTATATTTTAATAAATTAGAATTATTTGCTCATTTGATTGTTTACTTTACCTATCCTTCTTTGCATTTATGTGTAATTCGTTAAATATGCAACGAATAAGAAACTTACTGCAATTAGAAAATAATCGGGTAGTATCAACTCGGAGAACTATAAATTGTGTTTCAATACATGGATGCACTTGATGTCGAAAGCAATATACCGACTTTTGAACTTTTTTGGGAAAATAATGTTTTCAAAAACATTATAGGTTATTAAGACTTATTGTGAAATGACGGTTCCTGAAGTTACCGCCTCCTATTTAAGCACAAGGCCATTAATTGTCTGTCGCATGCATTTGACCAAATGTATGAGACTTCGTTCGATGATAGGAATATGCTCCCCTAGACAAACATTTAAAGTCCCAAGCCTGCGATATTAACAAACGAACAGTTTACAGGCAGATATAGCTAAACTGAATCAAGATCAAAAATACGTATAGAAGCTACGATTCATATATTTATTTATATATACGATTTCCTTGCGAAACTGATGAATACATAACTAATTTGTAGATTATTGAAACTCGTCTTAAGATGACGCTTCCTGAGGATATCGCTTCTGCTTTAACCGATGGAGTCATTCTTTGCCATTTGGCCAATTATGTGAGGCCCCGCTCGGTAGCTAGTATACATGTGCCATCGCCAGGAGTAGTAAGTTCTCGCATATTTAACTTATATTCTTCGAATTTTGCTCAATTGAACTTTTCCCTTCATTCAAATACAGTCTAAACTAACAATGGCTCGTTGTCGAAGAAATGTGGATAATTTTTTGGAAGCATGCCGAAAAATTGGCGTAGACGAGGTACGTATTTTTTACATTTTACATAGAGCAATATATATTATGTGATAATTATATCTTATGACTAATATTGTATAATCCATGGCTTGTATATTACAACTAATACATTTTTGATCATAATGGACTTCAGCTTTGAGAGTTGTCTTTTAAAACATCGTCGGAAAAAAGACAAAACGCATTGATTCGTTTCTAAAAAGATTCACGGAAAAACCTATACTAAAACTAAAATAACTTTCGCATTTAATTCGAATTTATTAAGTGGAGAACAAATGGATGTAAATTCTTCTCGATATGCCATTTATATATTTGTTAATTGTGCCATGTCTATCGGTGTATCGGAGACAACATCTATTGACTTAATAGCTGTGCCAAGCATCAGTTTGATTGCTATGGGCGTTTACTTACGTTGTTAATTTAATTTAATGAAACATTTAGCGGAATTAATAATATGACACACACACAGCCTTATACTGAGCCCAAGCATTGATATGTCACTGGTCGTATATTTCTGCCGAACAATGCTAAAACCTGGCTTGTCATCTTTCAATGGGCCTTTGGTAAACTGACGTTTAACCATAAATACCTGACATATTTGTTTTTTAGCCTTGAAAAGATGTACAAATTTTCAAAAGCTGAAGAGAAGAAAGAAATTTATAGAAAAGTTTTTAAGCAATTTTGTGGAAAATAAGCTAAGGAAGGCAGATAAAAGACTTTATTGCTTTTTATTTGTAATTCATTGGTCAAATGCATCCGATTGGATCGTAAAAGGGATAAAAATCATTAAGCTAAAATAATGTATAAACAATTTGCCTTTAATTTGCTCCATAACTTGGATGCATTACCCGACAGCAATTTTAAAATCGGAAAATTTTGCACTCGCTAACCGTTTAATCTCTACTCGTCATGAAGAATGCAATACCCAGGACCATAGACTGGCCACTGTTTTAGCGCAAAATTATTATTGGAGAATTTTATCGTCACTTCTACTTCGAAATATCAATTTATTATTATTATTATTAATTTCGCCAAAGAAATAAATTCTAAGACTAAACTCTTAAAAGCACTAGCATCTAAGACTATCGGCTCTTATTAAAAACTCTACCGCGCTTGAGATTCGAACCTACGACCATTCACTTGCTAGTCGAGATTCCTCGCCTTCGGCTAATCAGGCGGATACGAAATATCAAATTCTATAAAGAGTGACAGAAACGAAGACATGCGAACACAAGCACTAATTTTATGACCGTTGAATGGTGTCAGTGCCAGAATAAGACTGTTATACGCATAGAATTAAAAACAATTGCACAAAAGGGTTTCATTTAAAATTTTTTTTTTCGTTTTACTTAAAAAGTAGATAATCGGGATTATCACCTTAAGCAAATAACAATTCTGCAGTCCATTATGATCCATTTATATATGTACATAAAGTTTTTATAACTATTTGAAAATTGTTTCGTATATTCCTACCTTGTTGTACATTCCTTTCCCACTTGTATAAAAGAGATTAATTTAAACAAAATAGTTCTACAAAATATGGCTTAAACTGACAAAATCTGTTGTTTGGTGTTGGTTGCAGGAGTTGATTTGCTCCTGCTCTGATGTTATACCATCCTTTAACAGCATTGACGAGGTCGACAACGCTGTAACTAAAAACAGCAATACATCGCAAGCCAACTGTAATAATAATTATTCTAGCGCAGAGAATGAGCTGGAGCTTAAGCGAACGCAGTCAAAAACTCTGCCTAATCCAACGGCCGTATTGAAAACAGTGGCAGCATTAATTGCCCTCGATTGCAATCCGCATCATAGGAATGTACAAAATTTACAGCAACAGCGCGAATTTCAAATGAAATTGCAAATGTTTCAAAGGCAACAAGAACTGCCAAAGCAGAGACTTTTGCCGGAATACATGCTGTTGAATAAAAAGGGAAAAACGCCTAATCAACGTCGTTGTGTGCTGCTCGAGGGACTCAACGAGGAAGATACGGAATTGGAAGCGGAAAGGCGGGAACTCAATGATCAGTATGATGGTGAAGAGCAAAAGCAATTAACTGCAACCTGCACCAAAGAACAGATGATGATAGTGGAGTATGAGAATTCCAATTATGAGTTCGATAATAATTTTAATAAGGGCCATTGCAGTGACCAAAACAAACATGAACTTACCAATGGACAAAATGAAGACAGCGGCAACGACGACGTTGATGGTGACACTGTTCGAGCAGGGGAAAGACCCAGGCATAACAACATTTATCGCTATGCGAAATTGAAAACATTTCAAAAAATTAAACTGAATCTAATTACAGCCCACGGCAACAATGGTAATGCTTTTGGCAATTTTGGCCATCCGCAAGAAGATAGTATTCTACAAACAATAGTCGAAAATGAAAACGATGCCATCACACCCAATATAAGTTCAGCCAACACTGAAGTCTATCAAATAATAGACGAAAAAGTCAAATGTTTTAACAACGAACTGCCACTTAAGATTACTAACATAGGATCTCAAGCAACTACTACGACGACTGCGATCACACCTAACAAATATAAGCTTTTGGAATTGCCTTCGATGGGAAACAGCGCGGATAAATCAAATAATTTTACTACAACAGCAAACTCGGTTTCAAAACGCATAGAGTTCTTTGAACACGCCAATATACCGAACGGTGGTATTATTAAACCGAAAACTAACATTTACAGCATATATCGGGGAAATGACCGGGTCGAAGATGACAAACTTGTCGAGCAACTTGTCAAAAACAAGGAAGCTGGCGCTTCTGCGGCTTTCCTGCTGCGTCACGACTCGCACGTGCTCACCGTCATATTGTCGTGTGTCTTCATTGTCACATTTTTATTATTAGTCTTCTTTCCACTGCCAGGCTGAATGCAGCCAAAAACCCATTCTTCATATACTTCATTAGATTTCCATAAGAGAATCTTATTTTTTTTACTTTTTTATAGATACTTGCAAAGGGATAAAACGCTTTCTTTTGAAGCTTTACGTAACCTTCAATTATTTATATCTTATACATGAGCTCCCTTAATATAATAATTATAATATATATTAGTTTTACATATATACTTTAAAATGCCCGCTATGCGTGCCATGAACTACTTTACGAAAAGACCAATTTCGCATAAACTATAATTTAAGTAACGTCTTTATTCCTTGAATATGTTTTGCATTTGAGAAGAGAGAGAAAAAAAAAAAAGAGGATTTCTTTTAAATATTTTTTTTTCAAATTAATGAAAGAGAAATGGAAATAGTATTATATAGTCATTGAATGTTTTTTTGGCTTTAAGATTTTCTTTTTTTTTATAATAATATTAATTAATTACTTAATTTATTTTTGATTTAAGTTTTCTTTTATTTACTTAATTGAATTCTATGAACTTGCGTGTAATTTTAACTGAATTCATAATTAATTAATTTAAATCTCGTTTGCTTAATAACGCTCTAATCATCGTATAATTGATTTAATCAACTCAATTAGTGACGGAGAACTAAACGATATCAGTTACATTAAAGTAATTTCCAGGTTGATTGCGGAGCAGGTTCATTATGCGAAAAAATTGCAACCAAATTATATTAATTTGCACTTCACTTACAGTCGAAGAAACGAAGACCTTTGTAATGTTAAATCAGATTCGAGATGCACGTCAGAACTGTTGTTATTGCCATGAATAATGTTGGTCATATTGCTGCCACCATATTACTATAAAATGTGCAATTAACAGAAACGTGTTTTTTTGCTCGATATACCTCGAATATTACGACGCAGATTTGACAAAACTCAATATACGGGAAATAAGAATTTCGTATGCGATTTTGGGCAAATCACTTGAATAACTAATATTCATAAAAATTTACATTATTAATAATAGTTTGTCATTGCATTAGCAGACGACAAATTTGCCTAAAACTTATTGGATATCTGATAGTAGCGGATATCAGTGATCCGTTAACAGCACATCCGCACATTTTAAAATAATTATTGTTCACATATTGCTAAATTGTCTTACAATCTTAGTCTGGCTGAGAAATTAGACATGATGCCCGATGCAGTGAACCACCAAAATCCCCATCGTCCGCCTGGCCTAGCAGTTACATATACTCAAAAACTGCTTTAGACTTCTTAATGTGAACCCAAATCACTTTAATCGAATTGCACCCTGCCTATAAACATATACATGCATATACAACTGGAGTAGTACGCAGTTACAGTATCATGTTTGTAAAAATTTCAACAATAATGAAGAACTTACTTCACTTAACGGTATCAACATCTTGCACAAAAGGTGTCTTCATAACACCTTTCTTTGTGATAAATATTAAAATAGTATTTATTGAATATTAATTAAAAATGATTCTGTGACATAATACACATATTCACGCTCTGTCACCAACATTTCCATTTTCCGATTGACCATTTCCCATTAGGAGTCTTTTGGAAATACAAATAGTGAAGAGTATACTTACATGCATCAGTCTCCAGTCCAGCCTATTCCCTGTATAGAGGCATAACAGAAGTATAGCCTAAGTGTATGCATTAGTTGATATTGTAAAATCGATGTGTCGAATCAGATTTCAACATTTTTGTAAAAAAAAAAGTATGTAAATCATATATCCTTTCGCTACTATTATTTCTTCTCGGCATCAAAAAAAAAAAACAAAGAAGAAGAAGAAGAAGATCCACTAACAATATCATACATATTTGTAGGCATTAAAGTTATTTGAAATTTTACATTTTCATAGGTTTCAAAGGTTTAATGCAGCATTTTTTTATTTATTTATTTTTTTTTTTATTATAAAATATTAAATTAATTAATATTTACATATTTATTTTTAGTAAAAAAATTTTGAAACCGGCTCTCATTATTTATAATTTAGTGCAATTTGTTGCAATGTGGAAAAAAAAAGTTTGCCAATCGCTTGGATTCCTTGTCTAATTTGCTTATAGTTTGGCTTAGAGAGAGACTATGCATGCACTCTACCGTTAAAAATTCATATCGGATAACCAAACCCCTATTGTCAAATAAATAATAACTTTCTCTTACTGTTATTGTTAAGAACTTCTTTAAAGTTAATGAACACTACTTTAGACAAATTTTCTTTATCTAAAAGTAATATTTATGTTCGTGAAACAATTGTTGACTTTGTAAGTTCCAAGTTAGCATTGATTCGGATTGAACTAATGCAGTTTTTTATATATGGCATGCAAGACAATCTCCCTAAATAGCTTATTATTGGCATTAATGCGAGTAATTACATTATAAGGCAGCGTTTATCCTCGCTGTGAGTATACGGATAGTTGGATTTTGTTCTATACTCAGGAGAGAGGAAGTTTATGTGAATTTCGTAAGAGCAAATACAAACTTCCTCTGAATTTCCGCAAAATGGGTCTGTTATTATTTTGTGGCTTTTTCGCATGTGTGGAATAAGTATATGTCTTTCGATTTCTGGGAAACTAAGAATTTTTGTAAGAGCGGACTATCATTATTGCGCGGAGGTCCAGTTCGGCATCGCCGATTACGTAATGTGGCAAGTTGTTAAGTTAAGGAGCTTAACTCGTAAAATAGTTTTGACAAAAACATCCCGATCCTTACCCTAACTCATGCGCGTACATAAATGCTATTGCATTGGTTTTCATTGTAAAGTAGAATGACGCATAACTGCTATTGAATTTCAATGTTGAGCCAAATTGTTGTCATTTAATTTCATATAACTACAATTTATTAACAATAATTAGTTATTAGCCGATTACCTTATTAATGCTTAAAGGCTTTAGCCTTAGAAATTATTTTTCCGGCTAAATTAACTATAACAGTAATAATAATAACAACAATAATTAGCTGAAAAATTGGATTTCTATCATAGTGGACGTTATGGCATTCATTGTATTATGCCATACCCTTACAAAATCACTGGTGAACACATCTCAGCGAATCTTCGTTTGTTGATTTGCTTAATAAGTACAAGAAATTGAATTGAATTGAATAAGAAGAAGAGATTGACTTTGAATTTTTGAACGTCACCGAGAAATTTTACTGTCCACAAAAATCCCAAAAAAGTGAGGGTAAATGGAGTGTCCCTAAAAAAACCTAAAAGTTGTTTTAGTAAAAATTTTAAAAAAATTTGCAATTGATTGCTTAATGGCGCGGTTCTAAATTTAAATGGTTTTAATTCAATTACTTGTTAATAGTTTCCAAGAGCATTCTAATTTAAATCAATTTAATATTTTCATATGCCTTTTTTTTCAAAGTAATTTGTCTAAATTGTTATAAATATGCACTACAAACCAAAAAATGAAAAAAGTGCAACTAATTGCAAATGAATGTTTATGTCCTCACGTATTCATTAAATTGAATTTATTGATTTTTTATGATAATTTATTGAATGCTCTGTTAGCCACCATCTTAATTGTTCATCCAAGACTATTACTATGATTAAATGTTAAAAATGAATTTATTTTATCAAATTATTTCAGTACACAGTCAGTACCTTATTAAGCTTGGTACGTGTATGTGTTCTCTTAAGCTTTGAAACTTAATTAAAAAAGTGTATTTTTAGTCTGCAGATTGTGATCTTAAATCAAGTGTTGAAAAATATCCCATTTATTGATGTCATGTAATAAAAACAAAACAAAAAATGAACTCGATTATCAATTCTAATGCTAATATTTGGCCCTTAACCATGACAATGTAGACAATGTAACATAATTATTCCAAGTCGGGCATTAAGACATGCTGCGCCTATCTATGACTTTAGTTGCTAATCCAAAATCAAATTTATCGCTGCATTTATTTTAGAAATTAACTTTCTAATGTAAATTACAAATAAGCAATTCACGTGCGTAAATAATTGCTGCGAAATTACGACCAAAACAAATTTTGATCCGACTATTCCTCGTCCTAGTGGAATGGTTAATTCTTTCATTCGAATAACTGATAAATGGTTCTAAAAGTGTCGATAATGATCCTTTTCTTAGCTTTTGGTGGGAATGTCTTTCGTTTTACGATATATGAAGTCTATGACTGCTAACAGTTCTGTTAGGTGTTCAAAATTTAGAACAGATCATATCTTTCTTATATCCTTACACACAACAGATTTTCATCTTATCTAGATTTCGCTTTGCAATCGTTCGGCCCGAGTCAATTCATTGTTTTCGGTCCTCAAATTCACTTTTCACCATCTGAGTGGCAAGAATAAATTGTAAAAAGAGTTATTTTTTAAAGAAAATAAGTGAAACTTCTTGCCAACTGAACCGGGTTTGGCATTAGATTCGTTAACTTTAAGGTAATTTGTATGGCTTTGATTAGGCGCCTCCAAGCAGAATCGTACATCGTAGCATTTCAAGGGATTTTAAAGGTTTTTAAAGGGTTTTGGTAGGGACTTCTTTCTACGTTCGCCTAGAGTAGAAGGAACTTTTGGGAGTTCCATGATTACACTGAGTTTTATAACTTATTCCCCACATCCATTAGTATTTGTAGTTCTATCAGGTATTAAAACCTGACAACGTTGTTGTCATGTTGTTTTCGTGCTCTCAAATATAAGACAATGTTTTTTTGTAGAGCGGATTTCACTTTGGAACCGATTTTGACGATTAATCGAAATTTTTTTTCTCTTCTCTTTCCTATCTTGGAAGAAAAATAAAATCGCAAATCATCATGTTTTAACAATTAAAAAAAAAAAGAAAAGACTAATGGGAATGGAAAAGTTGACTTAGGGCTGCATTGAAGATATTACAGATAGATATACAAAAAGCTGTAAGGTTTATTGATTCAAAAGCCAATAAATCGATTGTGTTGTACAATGCAAGCATCGCAGACAGCAGATAAACCAACAATTTCTCGAATATTAAAATTTGAAGCCTTCAACGGTTTTTTTCTCAAAAAATGTATCGCTGCATCCGCTTGCCTTGAAATTTTAGCTATGGCTTGACAATAGAATTTTTTTTTTTTTTTTAAATTAAAATTTGCGCATTCTAGCAAGCAAATCTTTCAAGCAATTTAAAAAAAAAAAATTTCAATTTGACTTTTCTTTTCAGTTTTTCCGAGAAAAGCCTCATGTGAGCACGATTTTGATTCACTTTTTTCGAAAATGTTTAGTTCGTTCTTGTAAGTTTAAAATTGTGGCTCATAACAGACGGCAAGGAAGAGCAAGCAAAAAAAAGGATCGTTGCCACATCACAATTTTGATTTTAAGAAATCCTAAAAAAAATTGTTGTCCACTTTCATATGTAAGATCTATTAGTAGAACTTTTAATTCTTTTTT